CTGCACAGGAGTTGGGAAGGCCCAGATGCGGCCCCACCGCCTCCTGTTGTTCAGGTGACTGAAGTGGACCTCCTTACTACTGCACAAACTGACAGTCTGTGAAGGGTAAAATGCCAGCCGACAGGATTTCAGTGCATTTGGGGGTGAATCCATATTAAAATGGAAGTAACTTCAGTAATCTTGGTACTTTTTTTTTCAATTTTTGTTTTCTTTTTTTTTTTCTTCCCACAGGCTCATCTTTATGAATATAAAAGTAATTTCCTCCAAACTAATTTCTTGAAAGCTGAGCTGTCCCAACCTTTCAAGCCAGGAGGCTAAATTGATCTGATAGACGCCGGTGGCCCTGGGAGCATGCTGGCCGGGTCGTCACAGAAATGTGCCCAGCGCTTTTAATTTGATGTGATGATTCCCAGCGGCACCTCCACGCTGGTCCTTGGTGTCAATCAGACTGCAGGGAGGGACCTAGCATCTGGATGCAGCACGATTGCTCAAGAGGAACAGCAAGAGGTAAGGGTGTGCAGGGCTGTCTGTGAGAACATCATCTTGAAATCTGATGAACCGCACCAGATGACAGACTGCTTCTAGATGCTAGGAAACTCAGTCCCCATTCCAATAGAGGCGAGCAAGTTATACCTCTTTAACTTTAGAACTTCATTCATTCAATTACTCAAATAGCAATTCACTTATTCATCTAAACACTATCCATGATATATGTGTGTATATGTGTGTGTGTGTGTGTGTGTGTGTGTGTGTGTGTGTGTGTGTGCGCGCGGCGTGTGCATCCATGCTAGAACTTGAACTCAAGGCCTGGGTGTTGTTCCTTTGCTTTTTCATTCGAGGCTGGTGTTCTACTGCCTGAGCCATAACTCCTCCTCTGGTTTTGTGGTGGTTTATTTGAGTCAAGTGTCATGGACTTGTGCTTGGGCTGGCTTTGAACTGCAATCCTCAGATCACAGCCTCCTGAGCATGAAGCCACAGGCACCTGGCTCCATTATTTTTTAAGTGCCTACTATGTGGCTCATGCTCTGTTAGACTGAAAAGAGAGCATGTGGTCAGATAATGTAGCCACTGACCATGTGTGGCTACTGGTCCAAGTTAAGATAATCACACTTGTTTCAAAGATTTCATATGCAAAATGTAAAAATATCTTACCAATAGTTGTTTATATTGAATACACACTGGAATGGTAATTTTTATAGAAGGGGCTAAATAAAATAAGTTACAATTCACCTTATCTACTAAGTTTTTTCTTTATAAACATGGTTAGTGGGATATTTAAATTGCACTGGTGGCTTGCACTGTGCTTCTGCTAGGAACCACTGTTACTGTACTTGCAGAAGACCATTATGTGTCTTGGGATAGGTTGAGGCCACTTTTGAGAGAAGATGATAAAAGATAAAGGCAGAGGGAAAACTATGAGAGAGTAAGGGAAGGGGATATATGGTTCAAAAAGCATTGTAGTCATTACCTGACTCATGTAACTATAACCTCTCTGTATATCTCCTCTACAATAGCAATAAAAAATAACAATAATAAAAAGAGGTAAAGGCAGGCTAACCTGCTGTGACTCAATGATACTGGTAGGTTTTAGGTGATTAAATATTTGTCACTTACTGGGCCCCGTATCATAATTTGGGATGCCACAATGTTTGATGCTTCCTGGAATTTTCTCAGTTGTTCTTAGATATTCTAGTTTCCCGAGTGTCTGCAGATGACTGTTTGCATAAAGCAATGCTATAAAAGATGACTCAGGAAGAAATAAATATGTACAGATTTCCTGATAATTTCCTGATATTATGGAAATAAAACAAAGTCTTATTAAATTTTAGTTTTTGTGGTTCTGGAGTTTGACCTCGTGATGTCACACTTGCTAGGCAGATGCTCTATTGCTTGAGCTGCAGAGTTTTGTTGTTGTTGTTCTGATATTTTTGAGATAGAGTCTCCCTTTTTGCCTAGGCTGGTCAGAATTGTGATCCTCTTATTTATGTTTCTTGTTGTAGCTGGAATGACAGGAGTGATTCACCATGTCCAACTTTTTCTGGTAAGATGGGGTCTCAAAAACTTGCATAGAGTGGCCTCTGTGAGGCTGGAGAATCCGCAGGGTTTGACAGCTAGTGTAGAAGAGGCAGATGGCCCGGCAGACGCTGCGAAGGAAAAACGACTTACCACGTGGCGAGCCATAGAAAAATAAACAAGGAGGATGGAGGGAAAAGTCGCAGTGCCTCGGCCCTGCCGTCAGGGTGGCTGCCTGTCTCCCCGGCGTGTTCACCTGTCTCTCTTGCTCTCCCACTGTGTGTGCATTTGGAGTTCGCAGCCATCAGTGGAGAGAGCTTGCTGTATGTCTGCTGGTGCCTGGCGGGCACGGACGGAAGAATGGAAGGTGCGGAGGGCTGGGATGCCTGGCACCAGTCCTCTCGGAGAGCATGTTTGCTGCCCTCCTCACTTTCTGGCTCAGTTGGCTGCTGTACTATCTGTGGAAACTGGATGAAGCTCCCCTCGGTTTATTTTAGAAGTGCTCCCAATTCACGTCGAGGCGGGGTACAAACCGCACAGATGGGAATAGCATTTGAATCCTATTTAAATGGCAGTGGTCCAAAGGGTGGCTTTGAGACAGCCAGCGTGGCCCAGACCCAACCCCTGACCGCGGTGTGAAGCATGGCTGGAGGGCTCTAGCGACCCTCAGTTGTCATGGAGAGGGGCTAGTGCTCAGGTGGGCCGGGCACCCTCTCCACCTTGCCCACCCAGGAAGCCCTGAGCAGTGGGGGAGGGAGCCTGTGTCCTGGCAGGGAGTAGTTAAAACCAATGAAAAGTGAGCCACAAGCTCTGGGGCCTGCAGTTCTGATATACGTAGACTTAACGTGAAAACCAGCCTGTGCCGGGCAAGTGCGGCCCTACCACCCACAGCAAGCAGGACGGATTCGATGGAGCCCACAGTGGACAGGCTTATTGATGAGCAAGGGCCAGGTGCTGGCTTACCCCGATACCCCCAACTAGGCTGGAGGTGGGGATCAAGAGAATCGCGGTATAAGGCCTGCTCAGACACACACACCAGAAGTGCCGGTACACACCTATAAACAGAATTACAGTCCTGGCTACTATGGGTGGAAACCTTAAGATCCTCTTCCCCTACTACCTGAAAAACAGAAGAAACCAAGCAAGCAAGCCAGCCAGTAACTTGGGAGGCTTAGCTCTAAGGATGTAGTTCTCAGCCAGCCAGACAGGAAACTCCGTAAAACTCTTATCTCCTACTAACTACCAGAAAATCTGGAAGTGGATCTGTGGCTTAAGTGGTAGAGCATTATTAGCCTTACCACAAAAGTTTGGGGACAGCACTCAGGTCCAGAGTTCAAGCTCCAGGTCCAGCACACACACAAAAAAAATTAATGAAAAATCATGCAAGAACATAACTAAAGCAGAAAGGGCTAGGGATGTGGCTGTCTAGCAAGAGTGAAGCTCTGATTCCAAACTCTAATAGTGCGCTACCACTGGAGCCATGCCTCTACTTCTGGCTTTTTGCTGATTAATTGGAGATAAGAGTCTCAGATTTGTCTGCTCTGGTGGGCTTTGAACCTTGATTCCCAGATCTTCTAAATATCTAAGATGAAAAGCATGAGCCCTCAGTGCCTGAGCATAAACATTTCTTATTCTAATAAAATGCTTATATGCTTTGCTTTACCAAATACTTCATATTTGCTTTGATAAAAACCACACATTTTCTTTGATTTTTCCAACACTGATATTGCCTTATAGTTAATTCTTGATTTAGTTAGAATCAAGAAATAAGAAAGTTTAAGAGAAAAATAGACATATACACATATGTTTGATGTATATGATACATACATGCATTATGTGTATGTGTATTTTTTTGTAGTGGAGAAAGCGATAAATGGAAAATATAGTTTCCGTAAAATTTTTCACGGTCAGAAACAAACTAAAAAAAATCATACGTACTTCAACCAGCTTTTGTAACTATACATCCAAAGTCAATCTTCACAGAACTGTGTTTTTTTTTTTTTTTAAATCGGTTGTGGGGCTTGAACTCTGGGCCTGAGCACTGTCCCTCAGCTCTTCAGCTCAAGGCTCGTGCTCTACCATTTGAGCCATAGCGCCACACCCGGTTTTTCTGGTGGTTAATTGGAGATAAGAGTCTCATGGAGTTTCCTGCCCGGGCTGGCTTTGAACCACAATCCTCAGATCTCAGCCTCCTGAGTAGCTAGGATTATAGGCATGAGCCACCAGTGCCTGACAGAACTGTTTTTTGAATCATCAAAGATGATTCAAAGTTACCTTCAGTGTAATATCATGTGGACTCAGCATTCTTATTCTTTGAAAACTGATAACCCATATTGTAACATAAAGCCCAAACACCCAAGGCACCTTCCCTTTAAAATTCTTTTCCTCAGATATCTCCATTCTTATTCTCCCCAGGGAAGTGCCGTAATCCTGGGATTACAGGTCTCAACTAACTGGAACATTCTCCCTGGTGGTCCTCCAAAACCAGTCATCCTGGGATAGGACAGTTGTAAGATGGAGCCGATCTGTAGGCAGGTTTGGAAAGCCTCCTGGGGAGAAGCTTACACCCCAGGCTAACCGCAGGAACAGAAAGAGTGGATGGTGCAGCTTCTGGAAGATCCAGTCAAACCTCAGAGAAATCTGATTTTGAGCTGCTCCCCAGAGCTGTGCCTTGGGAAGACCTCAGCGGACTCACTCTAGAGGAATGACACTAAATCCATTGGTTTAGTTGATGAGATCACATAAGCGAAGTGAATGAACCCTGGGATCAGCACCAGCCACAAGCCTCAAGCCTTCAACTGATGACAGAAAACATAGTTGAGAAGACTGCAGGCCCTTCGCTTTCAGGGTCAATATTCTGGCTAAGGGATACCACCCGTTTTGTTTTTCATACTCGTGCAGGTCAGGTTGCATACGTTTCCTCTCCCACCGTGAGTAGAGTACTCACGCTACTCAGTCACTCAGAGTGGTTCCGTGGGCGTCCTCACCTTCCATGGGCGTGTTGCCGTCAGGCCGATTTGCGAAGACCACGTCCACGTAGTCCAGCTGCAGCCTCTGCAGGGAGCCCTTCAGTCCTGCCAACAGAGGGGCATCAGGACAAAGCACAGACACTCTCAGAGCCCAGGCCCAGGCACTGCACAAGGGATGGGAATTTGCTTCAAACAAACACTGGAAAGGAGCTGAGCGCCGAGGCAGTGTCAGCGGCTCCAGGAGTAATTTCCCCCAGAAGTGCAATTCTATAGGGACTCAGGATTCATTTCCCCCAGAAGTGTGGTTTTACAGGGGCTCCAGGGGTCACTTCTCCCGGAAGTGCAGTTTTACAGGGACTCACATGTGAGACTGTCTTCCCCAGAGGACAGACAGCCTGGATGCAGCCCAGAGATTAGAAAGCAGATAGCAGGTGCCAGTGCTCATCAAGAAACACAAATGAAACAGCACATGGAGACAGTCTCATGCCAGAGTGGCTGCCACCAAGCAGACAGAAGTGCTGGTGAAGAGGTGGAGAATGGGGATCTTCACCCACATGGAGAGAATGTAAATCAAGGTAGCCATAATGGAAAGCAGTGTGGAGCTTTCTTTAAAAAGTTCCCTGATGACCCAGCACTCCCACAACTGACTGTAAACCCAAAGGAAATGAAATCACTATGTTGACAAGCCATCTGCACCCCCTTTCATTGAAGCAGAATTCATAACAACCAGGAAATGGAATCAACCTCAGTACCTTAACTGATAAATGAACAAAGAAAAGCACACTATGTGTATCACCCCACTACCGTGGACTCGAATGACATCGGTGTCACAGAAGTTAAGAGCAGCATCTTGGGGAGGAAGTGGGTAGGGGAGATGGAGAAAGCTTGAAACAAGGTCTAGAAAAGCTAGAAGAATGGGGTTTGAACATTTCCACCATACAGAAAGAATAAGTGAAATGGATATGCTTACTTTATGGTACCTAGGGAATATGTGCAGTTTTTGTGTCAGAACATTTTAAAATCGAGACTAAGAAGAATGACATTGTATGCAATGGTGTGTTTCTAGAACTGCTAAAAATGTGTGAAAGACTTTGTCCCTCAAAAGGAATGTCCTCAGATACCCAAGATCCCACCAGCAAGCTGAAGCTCCACAGCCAGGACTCGTGGACCATGTCCAGAAATGAAGTGTTGTGTAGCAAGCAGCTTCTCGAGTTTTCTGATCTTCATGGAAAATGCAAATTGATATTTATGTTTTGAATTACTTAGCAAGCCTGTTAGTGAGATGGACATATATTTATTGAAAATTAAACCCATTCAATTAGTATAAATCAGAAGAAAATGACTGCCTTGGCTCTATTACACATATAAATTTTAATAAAACTCATCTAAAATTCATTTCAATATCAAGTAGAAAGCAAGTGAAGACTCTGTTTCCTATTTTACTCATGTTATCAAATTTTACAGAACCTATGACATATAGCTGAGCTACATTTTTCATCTTTTGAGAAGAAACAAAAACACTAGCTGCTGTAAAGACCTAAGATGTATTATAAAGGAGAAAATGAGGGTCTGAAGAGAAAATCTGGAACCAATAGCCTAGGTTTCATTCCCAACTAGTTGGTCACATTCCTAAAATTAATTAATTTTAGTAAAATTAAAACATCCCTAAAATAGAATGCATTATGGAAGACATTATGCAGCCCAAAGCAGGGCGATGTTCAAGAATTATCTCCCCCATTTCCACAAGTCACTGCATTTTCTCATCAGCTTCTTTAGTTCCTCGGGAAGACCGGAGATTTTTCTCTTTTTTATTATAAGCATAAAATTAATTGCCTGTTAAATGAGGCTCTTATAAATTTAAATTTGGCTCACTTAAATTTGATTTTCAAACTGGTTTATTGGACAGTCACAATTACTTCCTTGACGGGAAAATGAAGTGCTTGAATAGAAATATTTTGCACTCACTGAAAAGGGTTGTCTGCAATGGCACTTGTTCAAAGCCTTCAAGAAGCGACTGAGGGCAGACAGGTGCGATGGGGCCTAAACCCTGCTCTTCCCACACCGCCACATCTCTCAGGGTTGAAATAGCACCAATGTCTGAGAGAGCTCGCCATTTACTTCACCTTGAAAAGTTGCAGGCTCTGGGTCATGCATTGTAGGGCATAGCCAGTCAAACACAGACACTGTTTGAAAGGCTCAGATTATGCCTGTCAGACATAACCAATGAAACATGTGACAGTGTTGGAATGGTTGGCCCGGTGCCTGGGAGCCCTTGGACGTTTTGTGTGACTTCTGTCATCTGAAGTGGGACTGACAAATGCATTGGCTTTCAGAACTACTCCAGAGATGGCTGCGGAAGACATTAAAGAGAAATAGAAGTGGCAGTTATAGCAGGGTGTTCACATTTAGGAGAAAGTGAGTCCAAGACAATTGCCACGTCCTTCTCTGGACTCCTTGGTTTGAAGAGAGGCAGAGGTATTTAGGTTCCTGTGCAGGCCTGGCCCAGGGGCAAGGGCCGTCCCTTCTGAGGACAGGCCCCATCGCTGCCCCACTGCTGCCCAGGGCTTCTTCCAGCAGCCCACCATAGGGAAAGTAGCTCCAAGAGGCTACAGGTAACCTGGCCCCATTGTGGCCAACACTTACAATCCAGCTCTGGTTATCGCTAGCACACACTGCAAGGATGCAGTGCGTCCTGACGGGATCCTGAAACGGTGCCTGCTTCTGTGAGTGAAAGATGCTTGGACACAGCCTTCACCCCAAGGATCTGACCTTGTACACTTTGACTCATTGCTCAACCTCATAATGCTGACCCATAAACAGTGGTAGAGAGAGAGGGGGTTCATGAAAAGACCAGTCTCCTTTGATTGGCCCTTCCCCCCACCTTTTTTTTTTTTTTTTTTAAGATAAGGTCTTTTGTGCAGCCCAGGTTGGCCTAGAGTTTGTGACTCTCCTGCCTCGGCCTCCAGAGCGCGGGCATTATAGGCATGTGCCACCACACTGGGCATAGGTCGTATGGATGGTATTTCTTCTGTGATCGGTCATGTGACTGCAAACTATCAGGACATTCTGTTCTTTTCTATCTGGATCATTTAATCTCGTAGAAACAGGCAAGTCATAGCAATGTAAAGTCGTACTCAACAACTGTCTCCTTTTGTCACATTTAGGGTTGTGCCAATAAGTTTTACCTCCACGTAGGAAGCATTCTGCTGAGCCCTGGCTAGGGGGCAGGTATTAAGTTTAAGTGGAAGGCAAAATGCATCCACCGCTCAGTTCCACAGGGGCAGCCGGGAAGCCAGGAACAACCTGAGGGACTAAATGCTCCCAGGCAGGGAACCCACATGCAGAAAGTGCTTTATTGTTAGTCTGACCTCAGCACTCTCATGGGATCTGTGGAAAGCAGTGCAGGAGGAGGAGGGGGTGTGTGTATGTGTGTGTGTGAATGCCCCGCTCTTGAGCAGATAGCTAGATAGGAACTGCAGTTCCTCTAGAGTCCATAGGATAATAACTCATATGCAGAAAATAGATTTCAATGGAGCATAGCAAAGTAAACCAAGGCCCATTTTTCATTTCTTTTTTTTTTCTTAGGTTTGGAGTATAACAAATATCATATTGTTTAGAAGGTACACTTTAATTCAATGTAAGCCTACAGATTTCCAAAGACTTTAAGCAGGATTGAAATGGTTAGAAGTGGTTGTAGGGATAGAAGCAAAAAAATTAAAAAAAAAAATTGGCGAGGGGCTGGGAAGGTGGCTCAGTGTTAGAGCGCTTGCCTTGCATGCATGAGGCCCTGGTACGGATTCCTCAGCACCACATAAGCAAAAAGAAAAAAGCTGGAAGTGGTGCTGTGGCTCAAGTGGTAGAGCGCTAGCCTTGAGCTGAAGAGCTGAGGGACAGCGCCCAGGCCCAGAGTTCAGGCCCCATGACTGGACCCCCACCCAAAAAAAATGGCGATTCTGCCAGGGCTCTCCTCCATCCAGTATGCCTTTCATCACCTTATGCTTTCATGTCTGTAGCATGTTTGCTTTCCTAACTATCTTGGAAAAAAATGTTGTTTTAAATAATGTATACTCCTATAGTATATAATTTCCAGTTTCTTTTAGTAGCTTCCTAGTCAAAATGTAAGACTTTCTACCTCCTCTTTCTGCTCCTCTTTTTTTTTTAAGGTTATGTGGTATAAGAATCACATGCATCTATACCTCCCACTTTAAAACATAGTTATCCTGGGAGAGTTAAGTTTCCACGAACATGGTATGCTGGAAAGGAATACTGGAATGAATGCTTTCATTCAGAACTTTGAGACGTCTTCAATTATCTTTTGAAGTTCTGAGAGTGAAGTTTAACTCCTGTCATTCACTAAAAAGTTTCAAGCTGATATTTTGCAGTTTATTTTTCTTTCTTGTTTATATAACCATGGCTGTACTTGGAATCACATAAATAAACTGAAGGCCAAATGCAGAAACAGAAATATCATTTGACTATAATATTCACAGCCCCATTCTACTTATGCTATGACTTGCAAATGACTCCTATTCCACACAAGGCACTCAAGGCATTCAATCTGCCAAATTCTAACACTGGCTGGGTGAATAAATAGAACTTTAGGGTTTGAAATGACCCTGGGATTCTGAGTGGATATAAAAGACCTATTAGTGAAATCTCTTCTCCCCCTGTTGAATTTAATGAGAACATTATACTAACTGGATCTGAGTCAAGGACTTGGGTCTCGTAGAAGAGTTTTTTTTTTTTAATAGGATTAAAAACAAAAAGGACTCCAAACTACATTAGGCACAAGCCAAATTCTTTGCATATTCTGTAAAGTAGTTTTATTCAAATGGCCACGGTCTCCCTGCATACAAGTGGGCTGAATTCTGTATGAACAGGACTCTTAATATCTAATGGTAATTCTCAAACATAATGTGCATGTGAATCCCTAGTAAGTAAGGTCAACTTCAACACAGGAAAACTCCCATAAAACCCAGGATAGCTATTTATAAACTTGTTCAAATTTTACCCTGGGTTTAGAAATACTATATATATAAAATTTACTTAATTCTTTACTTTCTGTTTTCTTAGAAATAGTCTCTGTGGTGTTTCTTGTACTCATG